TAGGGGGGGGGGGGGGGGGGGGGGCTTAGTTTGTTTTCTAACATTCTCGAAGTTATATTATTTCAATAAATTTGATTTTATCAAAATAGAATATACTCCACATTATATTAAAGATAAAGGATAATATAGAGTATTCACAAAACTTATAATAAATAATATAGAGTATTAACAAAACTTATAATAAATGAGGAATGATATTAACAAATTATAGATTGGGAATATCCCCACCTTTTTGTTACATTCTAGATGTATCAATGGAAAGAAAAATGGCCCGTAAAATCTATATTTTGTCTATATATATAAATGTTTTCCATAAATTAATATAGCGGCGTTTCCAACACTCGCTCCATAAATTAATTTGCTACCTGATAATCTTGAATTCCAAATTTGGTCTTGACCCAGCTTAGGATGTTTCACACTCCCAGTCTATATATACCCATGTTGTATGAAACTTGTTTTCGTGCTTCTCCCAGCAGTGAGGAAGATCAAACATATAATAATGACTTTGATTTCGTCTTTAAATGTGTTATACATTCACCCATCCTGTCAGTATCTGCTCCGATGCACAATCTAATATTATAGACTTCTCTTTGGTCTTTCGGATCGGGGCTATGTAATAACTAATAATTCCTTCTTGATGGTGGAAAGGAAAGGTCTTGAGAATCCAACAGTAAGTTATGAATCTTGACTGCAAATACCTTGAAACTTCAATCTTTTTTCAGTTTTATTAAGTAAGCTGCTCTGTTTTCCAGTAATAGGATTTTGACAATTCAAAAACATTTTAATTGAATATTAATTGTTTCTATGCACTCTATAAAGGCTGAATTATGGTAGATTGTAGAGCCTGATTTATATTTCAATGACATTTCAAATGCTTGTAGTATCCTTTCTTCTATGAACTTTACACACGTATTCTTGGAGAAAAGAATAAGGTTACAGATCATTTGGCCAAAACAGAAGTTCAATCAAAAACATATTTAGTTGCATGAATTTAGTTTTGTTCTTGATTTTGTGGGTGTTTTTTCAAGTTTTTATTAGTTCCTATTTTGTTTGTAAGGCAGTATAGTTGCAAGAATATGTTTATTGTTTGTACAGCCATTATCTTATTGGCTATAACATATATTAATAAAGTTCTTGTCTTTGATTAAGAAAACACCTAGGATGTCCCTTTAGGAAAAATCAATACTGTCGTGTTCCCATAAGGCAATGCTTGGTGACGTCATTAATGATCACTGATGATCTTAAGTTGACAGACTTTTCTCTATAATTTAGCTTTTATAATTGAGCTCTTAAAAATTGCTGTTTATGCATGAATAACATCCAAAAATATATTGCCGACAATAAAAAAAATCCTATTGTTGTGTTCATATTCTTGGTCTCGTCAATGAAGACTTTTGGGTCATGTAAGAGGATAGAAAGGCAAAGTCGCCAGTGCTCTGTTGGTTTTATGTAATTATTACTTTGCCTCGGTTTCCAATCACACTCAACAGCTAATTTTGGGCCAAGAAGGAAAGTTGATAGGAACCTTACTTTCTGTAAATAGTGATGGGAATGCATATTGCAGTTTTTCATCATTTTTACTTTTTAAATCCTGAAAGAGGTATTATTCTCACTCAAAAATAATTTTTAAAAAATATAAAAACTTTATTATATCAATGTTTTCCATAAATTAATATTTCCGCGTTTCCAGCACTCTCTCCTCGAATTACTATTCTTCTTCTTCTTCTTCTTGTTATTTGTGTGCTCAGCACCAGAGTCTTTCTCTCCTTCAATTCAAACAATCCTATTCCATTGATAGTTCTGCTTTCAACTCACAAAAAAACAGCATGCCCAGTCCCTTAAAAAATTATGTAGGGGATTTTTTTAATACTATAAGAATTAATTAATTTTTTGCATAATAAGAATAATCAGCCACTTCTAAAATCATGTAGGGGATTTTGTTTTTGTGTCTTTTCTTGTTATAGAGGTGTCAAGGAATAAAAATTAATTTGGCAACGATTTTGACAATTCAAAAAACTTTTTAATTGAATATTGATTGTTCTGTGCACTCCATAAAAGCTGAATTGTGTTAGATTTATATAACGCCATTACATGTATCAAGAGCCATAATATCTTGGAGATTATGTGATACTTACAGGGTGATTTAATATTATTTGGCCAAAATAGGAGTTCAATCAAAAACATATTTAGTTGCATGAATTTAGTTTTGTTTATTGTTATTTTTTCTCATCTTGTATAGCCATTATCTTATTGGCTATAACATGTATTAATGAAGTTCTCGTCTTTGATTAAAAAAACACCTAGGATGTCCCTGTAGGAAAAACCAATACTGTCGTGTTCCCATAAGGCAATGCTTGGTGACGTCATACTAGGAATCACTGTTAATCTCAATTTACATGCTAGGATGTGATTACTGATGATCTCAAGTTGAGATGATTTTCTTTATATGATCACTATTGAATAACATTTTTGCCGACAATAAAAAAAAATATTGTTGTGTTCCCATTCTTGGTCTCGTCAACGAAGACTTTTGGGCCATGAAAAAGGATAAAAAGGCAACGTCGCCGGTGCCCCGTCGGTTTCATGTAATTATTACTTTGCCTTGGTTTCCATTGGTATAGCAAGAACAATTTAGTGGGCCATTATTTTGAGTCAAGAAGGAACGTTATAGGAACCTTACTGTCTGTAAAACAGTGATGGGAATACATATTGCAGATATTTGTTTTAACCTCTTTTTTTTTGCGACTGTTTACTCTAAAAGCAACCTATCGAGAAGCAACAAAGAAGAGTTCATTAGCAACAATAAAAAGAAGTTGAGAATATGACATCCGACGAAAACAAAAGTTCAATTGTTAGAGAAGATCTAACTTAATTTTATTAGTTATGGTTTTATCTGAAAATTTGATTCTCAAACCTCAAACTTCAAACTGCAAACTAAGGGACCTACTTTGATAGTCTTATATTTAAAATTTGGTCAGCACCCAGTTATGTTTCACACTCTCATGCATGAAGCTTCTTTAATGCTTCTCCCAGCAGTGAGAAAGATTAAACATATAATAGTGACTTCGATTTCGTCTTTAAATCTGTTACACATTCACCATCCTGTCAGTATCTGCTCCGCTGCCCCGTATAGCAAGTCTCTCTTTCGTTTTTTTTACTACAGAAACTGAATGAATAGAGCACAATCTGAGTCCTAAGATTGGTTTGTCTATATATACTACTAATATTGCCTTTCTTTACTTCTCATCTTTCCCCGACTTCCACATTTCCTTCCTTCAAAATTCCAAATTTTCTTTGAATCCTGAAAAGCCAACATGAAGTTTTATTCATTATCCCTCGCTCAGTTTCTCTGTTCCATTTTGTTTCTCTTGAATTTTCTGACAACAATTTCATCATCATTCTCCTCAAATCTCTCCTCTTCTACTCATTTATGTGCTCATCACCAAGCTCTTTCTCTGCTTCAATTCAAACAATCCTTTTCCATTCAGAGTTCTCCTTTTTGGTTTGCTAGAAATTATCAATATGATCAATATCCCAAGACAGAGTCATGGAAAGAGGGTACAGACTGCTGCTTGTGGGATGGGGTCACTTGTGACCTGGAAACCGGGCAAGTGACTGAACTGGACCTCTCTTTCAGCATGCTTTACGGAACCCTGCATTCCAATAATTCTCTCTTCTCTCTTCATCATCTTCAAAAGCTCGTCCTCTCTTACAATGATTTCAACTTCTCCAAAATTTCTTCTCAATTTGGTCAGTTTTCCAATTTGATGCATCTTAACCTAACTCATTCAAATTTTGCAGGCCAAGTTCCATCAGAAATCTCTCATCTCTCCAAATTGGTTTCCCTTGATATCTCAAACAAACATCTAAGTCTAGAAACAATCTCTTTTGACAAGATTGTTCAAAACCTAACCAAGCTAAGAGTACTCTACTTGGATTATATAGATATGTCTTTGGTTGCACCTAATTCCTTAACGAATTTGTCCTCTTCTTTGACATTGCTTTCACTTGTGGATTGTGGATTGCAAGGGGAGTTCCCAAGTAACATCTTTCTTCTACCATACCTTGACTCCCTCATTTTGGCAGACAACGAAGGCCTCACTGGCTCTTTTCCTTCCTCCAATGTGAGTAATGTCCTCTGGCAGTTGGTCCTTTCTAATACAAGAATTTCAGTTCATTTACAAAATGACTTCATCAGTAAGCTCAAGTCGTTAGAATACATATTGCTTCGCAATTGTGACATTCGAAGGACAAATGTAGCTCTGCTTGGTAATCTCACACAGCTTAGAATGTTAGACCTCTCACATAGTAATTTGAGTGGTGAAATCCCATCATCATTTGAAAACCTTTCAAATCTAGAGAGTCTATATTTATTTAGCAACTTCTTCAATGGGACAATACCATCCTTTTTGTTTGCTCTTCCTTCTTTAGGTTATTTGGACCTTCATAACAATCATTTCATAGGCCATATAAGTGAATTCCAACATAATTCGTTGGAATACCTTGATCTGAGCAATAATCACTTGCATGGTCCTGTCCCAAGCTCAATTTTCAAACAAGAGTATTTGAAAGTCCTTATTCTTGCGTCCAACAATAAATTGTCAGGTGAGATTTCTTATTCCATATGCAAGCTGAAATACCTTGAAATCCTTGACTTGTCCAACAACAGTCTGAGTGGTTCTATTCCACAATGTTTGAGCAACTTCAGCAACACTCTCTCAATTTTGCATCTAGGCATGAACAATCTTCAAGGCACTATCTCTTTAGCATTCTCAGAGGGGAATAGCTTGGGATATCTTAGCCTCAATGGCAATCAATTGGAAGGGGAAATACCATCATCTATCATCAATTGCACAATGTTGGAAGTTCTTGATCTTGGCAACAATAAGATTAAGGATTCATTCCCCCATTTCCTAGAAAGGCTTCCAAAGTTGCAGGTTCTTGTTCTAAAATCCAATAAACTCCAGGGTTTTGTGAACGATCCGACTACTTATAATTCATTCTCTAAATTACAGATTTTTGACATCTCCAGCAATAATTTGAGTGGACCATTACCAACAGGGTTTTTCAATGGTCTTGAAGCAATGATGACTTCGGATCAAAATATAATTTACATGACATCAAACAATTACTATGGCTTTGCCGATATTTATGCCTATTCCGTAGAAATGACGTGGAAAGGATTGGAATTTGAGTTTGTAAAAATTCAAGGTATCCTCAGAGTACTTGATTTGTCAAGTAATAGTTTCACCGGTAAGATTCCAAAATTGATCGGAAAGCTTAAAGGACTCCAACAACTTAACCTCTCTCACAATTACTTTACTGGTCATATCCAGTCATCATTAGGAATTTTGACCAATCTAGAATCATTAGATCTATCTTCAAATTTGTTCACTGGAAGGATTCCTATACAGTTGGTAGATCTAACATTTCTTCAAGTCTTAAACCTTTCACATAACCAGCTTGAAGGACCCATACCCCAAGGAAAGCAGTTCAACACGTTTGATCATCGCTCATTCGAAGGAAACTCGGGTTTGTGTGGATTTCCAATGCCAGAAGAATGTAGCAATGGCGAGGCACCACCATTACCACCATCAAACTTTATTGCGGGAGCAGATGATTCAACATTGTTTGAAGATGGCTTTGGATGGAAAGCTGTGGGAATTGGGTATGGATGCGGGTTTATGTTTGGAGTCATAATGGGATATGTTGTGTTTAAAAGAAGAAGACCTGCATGGTTTCTGAAAATGGTTGAAGATCAATGGAGTCTTAATGCAAGCAGAACGAAGAAGAATGCTAGTAGAAATGGTGCAAGAAGAAAATAAACAATGCAGTCAGTATCTTCAAAGTTCGTTCTGTAAGCTGTTTCCTTTCACATTTGTAAGTAATCATAAATGAGGAAATATCCCCACCATTTTGTCACATTCTAGATATATCAATGGGGAAACAAATGGCCCGTCATTCTTTCCTGGAAAAAAACAGCAGCACAATTATTAAAAAAAAAAAAATGATATGAAGGAGGTTTCTTCATTTAGCAATTAAACAGGTTAATATTTTCTTTGCTGTGAATATAAAATATCTTTGTTTCGTAATTCAATTGGTCAGCACATTGGTTTAGTTGAAGGTTGCAATATCGTATTGATAACATTATTATTTTTTGTGCGACAAACAACATGCAATATCTTTTCTTTTCCACTATATATATATATCATCCCCTCTTTATAAAAAAAAAAAAAAAAAACAAATACTGACCCAGCTGCTTCACTGTAGAAATAAATAGTTATGCGGCCAGGCCAAAGGTAACCCAGCAAATGTATTGCGCTGTACAGTTAACAGAAAATTTCAGTGTTTTTACATTTCAAAAGTGTCTCTAAAAAAAATTTTAATTTTTTTTATTTAAAATTAATATTTTTTGATGTTTTTAGATTATTTTTATATGCTGATGTTAAAAATAAATTTTAAAAAATAAAAAAAAAATAATATTTTGATATATTTCCAAATAAAAAACATTCACAAAAAACCACAATCACACTTTTAAATATATCTTTTGCACTAAGATTTTAGCATATATTAAAACACCTTGATATTTTGTTATGGCAATAAATAATGAAATATTAAGAATTTTTTTTCACTTTGATCATGAACATTATTTATGATTTTTATGTTTTTTTAATTATTTTTTTTTTCTTAACTTCATTCTTTAATACTGGATTGATTGAGAATTGAATTTTAATTTTTTTCATTTATTTTCTATCGGGTTATTACGATTTTATGACTAGAAATATAAATTTTACCGGTTAGTTAGGTTGAATTGGGTTTTTTTATTAATTTAATATTTATTTTTTAATATGTGTCCACCTTAGCCGGTCAATCTTCCCAGTTGTATTTACTAGAGTTTTGAAACCCGGACTAGCCTAGCAAGTTGACCCATGACTCAGCCGACCTGAGCCTGACACCGGTCCGAGTGAAGGTAAAAACCTATTTAGGAGTTGGCCCAGTGAAACCTGATCAATATTTACTAGAGTTTTGAAACCCGGACTAGCCTAGCAAGTTGACCCATGACTCAGCCAACCTGAGCCTGACACCGGTCCGAGTGAAGGTAAAAACCTATTTAGGAGTTGGCCCAGTGAAACCTGATCGACTCGGGACCCGGTCCACCCGGTCAAACTCGGGTGAGTCCCGATCTATTTTTTTTTAATATTAACAACCATTAAACGATGTCGTTATAAGAGTTTGTCTCAGCCAACAAATTATCATGTCCCTTTTTCCTTTTTAACTTCCCACACTACCTCTTTACAAGACCCTATCATCTCTTTCCCCTTTCTCTTTTTTTTTATTTTCTTTATAATTTTATGTCCCATTATCATCAATTCTTCCGTGATATTTTTTAACAATCGGAAGGTGCCTTGGTTTCAAGGTTTTCCTTATCTATCTCCTCATTGTTTTTTGATTAATTGTTTAGTTTTGTAATTATAAAGTGAGGAATTATGAGAAGTTTAAGTGAGCAATCAGCAGTGATGGTGGTTTTTTTTTTTTGGGGGGGGGTGGTGAGGCTAGTGTTGATAAGGAAAAGAAGAAGAATAGGCGCCGATCTAAATGAAACCCTCCCAATCTAGGTAATCCTAACTTAAAAGTACTAATTGTGTTTGTCTTTTGTGGTTGTTGAGGAAAGTCCAATAAATTAATTGTTGTAAGATTTGAGCTATAACTGTAAAAAAGAACAACAAAAAAGAAAGAGAGAAAGATTAGTGATTTTGGAATTTTTGTTATCTTTGCTTTTATATTTTTGTTTTTGTTAGTTTTTCCGCTAAGAGTATTTGTATTCCCTTTCAGTGACAACTAAGAATTTTATGAACAGAACAATGTTCATTTAATTACTTTTTTAATTTTTAAATGAATCAATCATCTTTCTTTTCTATTCGATCAAAGCCAATGGAAAAGCTAGTGGTAGTCGCCAAGGTAAAAGTAAACTGAACATGGATTGTAAGTATGCTGGTTTTGGAAATTCCTTGGTTCCTCGTAAGGGTTTTTATTATGAGAATAGTTCATGTGCTGGTGAAGATGTTCATGATGAACTGAATGGGCCAGTGGGTTATAATTTTTTTGGGTCGACCCAGATCAACCCATTTGACTCGTGACCCGATCACTTGACCGGGTCGGGTTTCAAAACTAAGGTATTTAGTGGGGTTAAAGACCAGTACACGAGATCTTATGGTTATGGTTGTGTCAACAAGAGGTTCAACAATGGATAAACACCACTGGGGCAGGGTGTTTCAGTCTTGGGACTGCCATGAACTGAAGATTCACATCTAGAATAGAAGGCTCTAACTATGGGTTGGGTATTCAATGAATGGTATGCTGAGGAGAGGGCAGGGTATATGGCACAAGGGTTATCTAGAATAATCTTCTATAACCTTGTAAGTCAGCATTATTAGGTAGTAAAAAAAAGAAAGAGGATAGTTAAGAGAGTTTAGAGAAAAACACTTGATAAAAATATATCTTCATCTCAATCTTCTTTTTGTTCTTGAGTTTTTTTATTCGGCATTACTGTTTTGATCTTATACCACACCCATTATTCTTCCAACAAAACCTATGTGAAATACCATTACTTTGACACTTTTGGACTCCTGAACTTAGTCCAAGCCAAATGCCAAAAGCATGGCCGTGACATGCTCAACTAAGAGGTTAGCAAATAAGAAGAAAGAAAAAGGATACTTCGATCTGCTTGCAGTCTTTGGACAAGTAGATGCAGATTACAATGTTAACTTAGCCATAAAAATGTCAAACAAAGAATACTGAATGAGTTACTTTACTGAGTGGAGAATGGTGAGGTCAAAGGCAGTGTGATACTATTAAAATGCCATAAGCACTTATTCCAGTAAAAGGAACCAAGAAGTTGGCAGATATTTACATTCATAAGAGATCATAATTTATAAGATCCTGTGCTGATTTACTCCACACATGAGAAACTCTGTACTACGAGGAACTAGTTTCTGAAAGATTGTTAGCGTCTGCATCTTTTGGAAAAGATTTATCGATAAATGGATGTATCTAACCTACATGATTGCTCCAAAATTAATACAAAGAGGTAGCCAGCCAGCAAACGCCAACTAATTAGGAAAGCCAAATAGATCATTGTATTTTTGATCATGTTCTATCAGGCAAAGGCCCGAAAATACACACCCCTTCAAGGTTTTCCAGAACATAAGGCTTTGAAGTTTAGAAAATATAAAAAAAAAATTGAAAAGAAATTAAAATTTCTTCTTTATGATATGCCAATAGAAACATAGAACAAATTTCGAAATGATAAGAGGTAAATCAGAGATATAAATGGACAAGGAAGTTCACTAAGTTGGAGACGGTAAAACCATTGCAGAAAATATAAGCATAAAATAAAAGGCAACATCTAGGAGTATAAATCCATGTATAACAAAACCTAAATCAATTATTTTCACCATTCATTATAATTTGATGAAATGAACTCTACTGCTCATATCACAATGTTTCAATATTAACTTTTAAGGGTTTAAATATTGGGGTCAACATCTAGGAGAACTCGTTAAATTTCTAATGCCGGAGATTCTGATAAATCAGATTGTGATTATGATCAATGGGATACAGATTTATTATAACTAAATCATGTAAAAGGCCTAATAAATATATTTATATTCTTGCCAAACCAATTATCTGATGGAAAAGGAGATTTTTTTATCCGATAGCTGGATAACACTCAAGTTTTGCTAATAGATTCTAAAAAAAGGATTGTAATCCTTTTTAAACAATGTAGAGTAAATTATTAGTAATAAAATATGATTAGTGTTCTTGTTTTAGACCCTTTTGTAAATTATATCTTCCATTATATCTTCAAATTCTTATTTGATTAGATTCATTATCGGTCTGAATTTCTCTAAACACACCAGACCAATACGGGTTTTGCATCCTCAGATCATGCAAGGACGAGGCTTAATCTCAATTAATGCATTATCCTCTCCTAGTTCCAAGGATTGAACTGTTATTGGCATTTATTTCTTCTCTTTTAATTCACTCTTTCTTCTAAAATCTTAATATTTTGTTTCTCTATAATTTTAATTGTATTTATGACTTAATTAATCGACACATGTCAAATGACTATATATATAATTATTTTTTATATGATTAATTATTTTTCTTCATGATAAGAAACACCAATTAACTATGATGTAAATCAATACGGTGGTGTTCCCATTCCTAGTCAATGAAGACTTTTTGGACCATGAATATATAGATATAATAGGCAAAGTCATTTGGGCTACATTATTTTGCATACATATAATTTCTGGTCTTGCTGAGTTTTGAGTCAAGAAAGCTAATTCTACGAACTACTTTATTTTTTATTCATTATCCCTCACTCAATTTCTCATTTCCATTTTGTTTCTCTTGCACTTTAATCCAACAATTTAATCATCGGTCCTTCTCGGCTCCAATTCAAACGTCGAGGAATCTTAGAATCAATTGCAAGACCTAAATCAATTATGTCACAATGTTTCAAAATTTATTTGTAACGTCAACATATCAAAATAATTGAAAACATTAAAAGAAATCAATTTAAACAAAAAAAAAATAATCTTTTTCAAAAACGTTTCTCAAGCTATTAATTCTAAACAAGTTATTCTGAAAGAGTAATCATAGCATTGTCTAAACATTCAAAGTTATAAACATATTTATTCAAGTTTGGTTTCGAGCAGAAACATCGTTCATCGTTTCCACTTTCAAGCACCCCAACACGATTCCTTGGCATCCCAGAAGAGACAGCAACGGTCTTTTTATTTTATCCATTTAGCCCCTAAAGAAAGATTTAGAAATAATTCATTGTAATTTTTTTATTTATGAGTCAGGATATCTTCTAATAAGCTTTCAAAAATAAAGGTTAACTTCTAGACGCATGCAAACCATTGTGGTTCAACTTATATCTCAATACTCAATTAAGCCCGATACAATATCTTTTATTAATTAGGTCCTAAATATTTCAAACATTTCTTAATTGCTGATTTTAATAAAGAAAAAGGCTGATCTTACAGCAAATTTAATACAAAACTTGGCAGAAATGGATAAAGGGGTCCAGTTTATAAACCCTTAAAATGTTTTGGATCTAATTGATAAAAGTATTGTCTTGGAATTCAATTGATTATTAGGTAATAAATACATCGGTGGGCTAATTTTACGTTTCCACTCAAATGATGTCTGCCAAACAGCCTAGCGAGTTCACATGATTATGCACATTTTGAAAATTTAATTTTGAGATTAAGTATTTTTAAAAAAAGATTTAATGGTAAGATGATAAGTAAATGATAAATGGATGAGGCTTATGTTTACAGGCTTAATTAGGGGTGGTGTTAGGATTATTTGTTAGAAAAAGATCAAAATTAATATAATAAAATATAATATCTATTTTAATTTCTTGTATATGAGTTATAAAACAAAATCTATATAATTTTGTTTTATGAAATAACTTACTATAAATATATAATGATTTTTGTGAAGGATATTGAAATTGCTCAACTATAACTTTAATATTACATATTAGAATTGGTTCACTAGGCTATGAGCAATTAATATATATATATATATATATATTTTAAATATCAATTTTTCTTATTTTGTTCATGGTTTAATCTAAAATTAAAACATATATTATAAGAAAAAATTAATAATTTTAGTGGCTCTGTTAAAAATAAAATATAAAAAAAAATCAAAGCATGATCAAAACAAAACCAATAAAATATATCTAATTAATTAGAAAAAAATCACTATAACAAGAATTTAAAAAATAATTGGTAGAACTAGTAGATTTGAGAAAAAAAAGATCAAAAATAATAGAAATATAAAAATATCTCATTAAATTATTAACAAACATTTCAAAATAAAATAAATATAGATTTTAAATTTAAACTATTTTATTTTGTTTAATAAAAAATAAATTAATTGGTAACTTTTTTTATTTTTTTTATAAAAAGATTTTGCTCGTGATTTGCGGGAAAAGTAAAGACCCCATGAAGATTGGTTGATGCTGAGAAAGAAACTCCAATATTCTTAATTTGTCTGTTTAATTTCCAGTAGTAATGTCATTGCAATGTATTCACTGAACGAATTTATTGGTTACTTAATCTTGTTTTTTTTTATGTAAAATAATATTAAGTTAATTTTTTTAAATGATTTTTTTATAAGTGTGATGTGTTAATGTAAAAAAATTATATTATTTTAATATATTTATAATAAAAAAAATATTTAAGAAAAAACTACGAGTGTAAATTATTAAGAAGTCTTCTTCCTATATTGAGGCTTGAATTTTTAATTTTTTTTATTAAAAATTAAGTTTTATAATAAAAAAAATATTTTATTTTTTATAAGGTTATTAAAATCTTTGATCTAGATCATTGATTCAATTGGTTGACTTGAATTTTTTTAATTAAATTTTTTTTAATATTAGCTTAATTTCTTTATAATTTATTTTGGTTTGTGTTTTATAAAATTATTTTAATCTTATAATTCAAGACATCCATTTGGTTACTGGCCCAAATCATGAGTTTTTGTGTTATATTTTATTAATGTTTTAATATTATTTTTAAAATTTTAATTGATTAAAAATTAAGTTTAATAAATTATTTTGATATCTTTCTATATGATTATATTAGTTTCACGATCCAAGTTTGATAGATAAGCTTGTATTGAGTTGTTTTTTTAGTTAAATTTTGTTTTTAATTTTATTTTTTACTATTAAATTGATAAAAAATTAAATTTAATATATATATTTTTTATTTATTTCCTATAAAAATATTAGGATTTCATAACCGTGTATGAGTAAAAATTAGTTAACATTTCATACTTTTCTCACATTGAAATGTAAGGATTGGTCATGCTAGGCAGTATAGACATGTAACTTTTTATGCAAATTTAAGATATGTACGCTAGAATTTTATTTTAAAATATGGTTGTTATTTTTTTAATTGTTCTTTAATATTACAAATTAAAACATACCTCATCAAATTAATCCATAATCAAGCTTTAAAATCTTATAAAAACCTTTATATCTCAAATAAATACAAAGAATTTCAACCATCTACTGAGAACATTAGAAAAAAAAAGAACTTGGCATGGCTACATTGAATCCGCCATTAATGAGAAGGTGAGCCTTTTTTTCTTCTCATGGAAGAACATGGATTTAATATTAAGGGCTTTATTTTATTTTGTTAGCTACAACTCAAGGTTTAATGAGCTTAATTAATACTTTGTTTTTAGCTAGAATCCAAGACTTGTTTGAATCAAGTTATGAGCTTTTCAGTTAAGGTTTTTTGGGTCAGTTTTGAGTGGACCTCATATAAATCCACATAAGAGGTCCATTATGGTTAATTTTTCAAGAATTATTTAAACTCATGTAAACAAAATTTCAGCAGTCATTGATGAATATTAATTCTAAATTTTTTAGTTTTAACACGTGAGAGTAATTCTTGCATTCTTCGGTTTTTGAATGAATTGAATCTGACTTATCAAATATTAATTGGCTTCATGGCGTCATTCTACTTCATTCCAATAGTGTTGGTACCTTGGGGCAAGTTTTCATTAAACCACACTTCTATCAGACTTATTTCACCTTTTCGGGATCCGATCTCAATATTGATTATGGGTTATGTAATTACAAGGTTCGCATCAATCTGTCCACAAGCATCTCAGGCTTTTCCACAAGTGACCTAGGTCCATCTACAAGCTTGGGATGTTATTAGTCCTCCTCACATCTACATGGATATTACAAACTTGTTCTCTAATGAGTTGTCGTGATGATTCAGACTCGCACAAGTGTGCTTTAGGCCCTTCTACAATCTAGAGAGATTATTAAATATACTTACATCTTATTATATGTTATGAGAATTATGAATAAATATATAACTAGTTTAATTTTTTATAAAATGTTATGTTATCTTAATCATTAGTCTAAATTTTCTATTTATGATTGAATATATTATGTGTTGTTTATATGCATTGTGTTTTGATGCTGAAAAATTAATTATTTGTGATTGTGTGAATTATTATGTTTGAGGTAAGTGTTGATGGCAGAATAACCTTCTTAAAGTTATCTTTTAGAGGAGTCGCAGAGACTATTTATGATATAGGAGTTGCAATCGACTTATGTATATACTTCTTTTTTGTTTGGGTTAATGATATCTTAGTCGTAAACTGAACATTTAATCTTCATATTTTTAATTAGCCATAAACTGAACATTTAATCTTCATATTTTTAATTGGATTTATAACTTATAATTTTTTTTTATCTATTTCATATTATATTTTTTTAATTTAAAATAGAAAAAATGGGAAAAATCAAAGAATATAGATTGAAAGATTGATAAGAAAGAGAAGTATTTTTTAAAAAATATTACTAAATTAAACATGATCAAGATTTGTCAAATAACTATTTAATTATTTTTAACAATACAAGAATTAATAATTTAAGAAAAATAGCAACCCGGAAATCAAATACTGTCGTGTTCCTATACTTGGTCTCGTCAATGAAGACTTTTGGGTCATGGAAAAGGATAAAGATGCAAAGGCATTATTAATTAGAGCTCCATTGCTTTGCGTAATGATTACTTTGCCATTATTTTATTTTATTTTTTGCATCTTCGGAACCGGGGCTATCTACTAATTCCTTTTTTATGGTGGAAAGGTAAGGTCTTGAGAACCCAACAGTAACTTGGGAATATCAAATGTTGACATTTCATCTATATGGAGAGAATATAACTAAATTAAAGTAGAAAGTATTTCTTACATTTATATGGAAAAATAAGACCACAATCATCAACTCTATATAATATCATACCTATCTGGTATTGAAATATAAGGTTTGATCCTGCTAGGCTCCTTTTAATTGGAAAAAAAAAGAGTTTGATTTCTAACAATTTCAAGTTATGTTATTTCAATAAATTTGTTTTTATCAAAATAAAATGCTCCATGTTATATTAAACAAGGGCGGAGAAGTGTAGGAGGTTAAGGTGGGCTGTAATCCAGGGAAAAAAATAAAAAATAAAAAACCTAATACTCTCCTGCACTGCTTAGGTCCTGATTACTGTATAATTTCTCAAGCTTGTTGGAGTGTGATTGCAAATGTAAATGTCATTATGCAATTAATAATGCTGGACATGGGCTAAGCTGAACATGTTATTAGAACTATTTTGAAATGACATGATTTTATCCTTATGTAGTCTATATTTCATGAATATCCTTCTATGCCATTAATATTTCTTTATCTTATAATTAGCTTCCCTAATCCTCTATACTTTAATATTATAAATTATAATGAAAAATTAAGAAAGGAAGAGAAGAAAAATTAAGTTTTCATTCTTTAAATCAAGTGAACAAGTGGAATTATATATACATGCATCAGGACTGATGAGTCAGCCCGTCCCTTGCAAAGGAGATTATTCCCACACCAACTGCATGACATGCAAAGAGGAGCCTAAAAGGAATGGAAAGAGGGCAGAAAAAGGACAGAAAGGGCACAACTGATTTCAGCTGCAAAGGGGGCGAAAGGAAAATAATTATTTTTTTATTATTTTTTTATTTTAATGTGCTAATATTAAAAATTAAAAATAAATTAAAAAAATATTATATTAATATATTTTCAAATAAATAATATTTGAAAAATAATTCAACTACTATACATTACCAAGCCCACTCAAAAAGTATGATCCATGAGTGCAAAGTCGTTAGTGCCCCCATTGCTTGGCGTAATTATTTCTTTGCCAATAAACAACAATTTAGTTTTCGCAATTTGAAGTCAATTTGATAGCAACCTTACATATTTTCAAGATTTTTATTCTTACTTTATTTTTTTAATTATTAAATCTTAAAAAATATTTTTTAATTAAAAATATATCAAAATAACATGTTTTCAAATAAAAATTAACATCAAGATATTAATTTGACGCTCATATAATTACCGAGTTAAAAAAGAAGTTCTAATTAGTATTATAAGCTTATATTGAGCTACAAGGTTTTATTTGTTTATTTTTATGAATTTTAATATAAAAAGTCGTCATAATATTATATAAATGATATTTTATCTCTAGATATATAAAATTCATCCTAAATATTTTACACAATCTCATGTTTGATAATTTAGATTTGAAATATCAACTTCTTGATGCCAACATCCAAATCATTGATAAATTTCAAATGCTTTTCTTGGGATTAATTCATTAGTTTCAAGTAACATTTTTCTATATTCCTAGTAGTATAAAAATTTTCTAAGGATTTATTATATTTCTATAATAATTAATATTTTGTAATGGATATTTATTTCTTATTAATATTGTGCAAGAGTTATTTGTTTCTTATTTAATGTTGTGTAGGAGATATTAATTATTTATTATTTATTTATATAATTCTATTCTACTAAAATAACAAGGTTCAATAGCTATAAATACTCCTTGAATAATTTAGGTAAAGAATTTATAATTTTTATTTTTTACTGTATAAATATTTTTTAACTATTTATTTATATAATTGCATAGTTTAAATTATTTTTTATTTAGAATAGAAAAGGGAAAAATCAATTCAAGGAATGAAAAGACTTTTGGATCATGAGAAATGTTGTATATATTAGTGCGAAGTCATTGGTGCCAAGAAACAACAATTCAGTTTGCACAATTTGAAGTCAACAGGGAATCAAGTTGATAGGAACCTTTCATATTTCCATCGGTTTTTATTCTTTCTTTATTTTCTTAATTATTAAATCCTGAGAAAGGTATTTTAATACTAACAATTAATATGTGCTCTTGAACAATATTAGTCTTTCTTAGCTCCGATTCTCTTTCAGCTTAGGAAACTTGTTTAATGCTTCAACCAGTCACTTTGATTTCGTCTATAAATACTGCTAATAATTAATACCTTTCTTCACTTCTCATCTTTAATTCCCAGTTAATTATACTTTGAATCCTGTAAGCCCAGCCACCATGGGGTTTTCACCACCGTGCCTCTCTCAATCTCTCTCTTTCATTCTGTTTCTCTTCCATTTCCACTCAACAATTTCATCTCCACTCTCCTCAAATTACTCTTCTTCTTCTTCTTCTCATTTGTGTGCTCATCGCCAATCTCTTTCTCTCCTTCAATTCAAACAATCCTTCTCCATTCAGAGTTCTCCTTTTTGGTTTGCTAGAAACTATCAATATGATCAATATCCCAAGACAGAGTCATGGAAAGAGGGTACAGACTGCTGCTTGTGGGATGGGGTCTCTTGTGACCTGAAAACCGGCCATGTCACTGCACTGGACCTCTCTTGCAGCATGCTTTACGGCACCCTCCTTCCCAATAATTCTCTCTTCTCTCTCCATCATCTTCAAAAGCTCGACCTCTCTTTCAATGATTTCAACTCCTCCCATATTTCTTCTCGATTTGGCCAGTTCTCCAATCTAACACATCTTAACCTAAGTGGTTCAGATCTTGCAGGCCAAGTTCCGCCGGAAATCTCTCACCTCTCCAAAATGGTTTCTCTTGATCTCTCTTGGAACGGCTATGTGAGTCTAGAACCAATTTCTTTTGACAAGCTTTCTTTTGACAAGCTTGTTCGAAACCTAACCAAGCTTAGAGAACTCGATTTGAGTTCAGTAGACATGTCACTAGTTGTTCCCGATTCCTTGATGAATCTGTCTTCTTCTCTGTCATCGCTCAAACTCTATTACTGTAGATTGAAAGGAAAACTCCCATCCTCAATGGGGAAATTTAAGCACCTGCAGTACTTGGATCTTGGAGGGAACGATTTTACTGGTTCAATTCCATATGATTTTGATCAACTCACCGAGTTGGTTTCCCTTGGTCTCTCTTCCAACAACTATGTGAGTCTAGAACCAATTTCTTTTCGCAAGATTGTTCGAAACCTAACCAAGCTAAGAGAACTGGATTTGGGCGATGTAAATATGTCTTTGGTTGCACCTAATTCGTTGACGAACCTGTCCTCTTCCTTTTCATCTCTTTTCCTCGGTGACTGTGGATTGCAGGGGAAATTCCCGGGTAACATCTTTCTCCTTCCAAAACTTGAATCACTGGATCTGTCATACAACAAAGGCCTCACTGGCTCTTTTCCTTCGTTCAATTTGAGTAATGTCCTCTCTCAATTAGATCTTTCTGATACAAGAATTTCAGTTTATTTAGAAAACGACTTAATCAGTAATCTAAAATCATTAGAATATATGTCTCTTTGTAATTGTAACATTATAAGGTCAGATCTAGCACTACTTGGTAATTTCACACAGCTCTTGTTTTTAGACCTCTCAAATAACAATTTTAACGGTCAGATCCCATCATCACTTAGTAATCTCACACAGCTCGTTTATTTAGACCTCTCAAATAACAATTTTAGAGGTGAGATCCCGTCATTACTTGGAAACCTTGTACATCTCCGTTACTTACATCTCTCTTCCAATAAATTTATAGGTCAAGTTCCAGATTTTCTAGGTAATCTAGTCAATCTTTCATATTTAATTTTATCAAATAATCAACTAGTAGGCCCTATCCATTCTCAATTAAATACCCTTTCAAATCTAGAGAGTCTAAGTTTATCGGATAACTTGTTCAATGGAACAATACCATCCTTTTTGTTTGCTCTTCCTTCTTTACATTATCTTGACCTTCATAACAATAATTTCATAGGCAATATAAGTGAACTCCAACACGATTCTTTGAGATTCCTTGATTTGAGCAATAACCACTTGAATGGTACAATCCCAAGTTCGGTTTTCAAACAAGAGAACTTGACAGTCCTTATTCTTGCGTCCAATAGTGAATTGACAGGTGAGATCTCTTCTTCTATTTGCAAGCTGAGATTCCTTCGCGTCCTGGACTTGTCCAACAACAGCTTGAGTGGTTCTACACCACTATGTTTGGGGAACTTCAGCAGCCAGCTCTCAGTATTGCATCTAGGCATGAACAATCTTCAAGGCACCCTCCCTTCAACTTTTTCAAAGGATAATAGCTTGGAATATCTCAACCTCAATGGAAATGAATTAGAAGGGAAAATACCACCGTCTATCATCAGTTGCACAATGTTGGAAGTTCTTGATCTTGGCAACAACAAGATTGAGGATGCATTTCCGTACTTTCTAGAAACGCTTCCAAAGCTGCAAATTCTTGTCCTAAAATCGAATAAACTCCAAGGTTTTGGGAAGGGTCCGGCTGCACATAATTCCTTCTCTAAATTACGGATTCTTGACATCTCTGACAACGATTTTAGTGGGCCATTGCCAACAGGGTATTTCAATAGTCTTGAAGCAATGATGGCCTCCGATCAAAACATGGTTTACATGAATGCAACAAATTACTCTAGCTATGTCTATTCCATAGAAATGACATGGAAAGGTGTAGAAATTGAGTTTACGAAGATACAAAGTACCATCAGAGTACTCGATTTGTCTAAAAACAATTTCACTGGAGAGATTCCAAAGTTGATCGGAAAGCTTAAAGCACTCCAACAGCTCAACCTCTCTCATAATTCCCTTACAGGTCAAATCCAATCATCATTAGGAAATTTGACCAATCTGGAATCATTAGATCTATCTTCAAATTTGCTTACCGGAAGGATTCCAACGCAGCTGGGGGGTCTAACATTTCTTGCAATCCTAAACCTTTCACATAACCAGCTCGAGGGGCGTATACCAAGTGGAGAGCAGTTCAACACCTTTACTGCAACCTCATTTGAAGGAAACTTGGGTTTATGTGGATTTCAAATACTAAAACAATGTTACGGTGATGAGGCACCATCATTACCGCCATCAAGCTTTGATGAAGGAGATGATTCAACATTGTTTAGAGATGGATTTGGATGGAAAGCTGTGACAATAGGGTATGGATGTGGGTTTGTGTTTGGAGTTGCAACGGGATACATGGTGTTTAGAACAAGAAAACCTTCATGGTTTTTTGGGATGGTTGAAGATATATGGAATCTCAAGAGCAAGAAAACAAAGAAGAATGTTGGCAGATGTGGTGCTGGAAGAAACTAGATGATGCAATTGATATTTTCAAGTAAGTTTTGCGAGCATTTGAGTTTCCAAATTTTATGTTCACAGTTTATGCAGGCTATCTTTTCTCTACAATTTATTTGATCAGTCTTACCTTTCTAATTTTACAGTACAAAAAAGATATCAAGTGGATTTGACATTTAAACAACACTAGAGTGGCAGATTCATGGTATTGGATTCCCTTTACAAATAAGATATCAAATGGTTTGGGTGTTGCTTCTGCGAAAAAGATTCCATGTATGTAATAGGTCAAGCAAGCAATAGCTTGTGTTAACTATAAAATCATTTATGTTTTATTGAGTTATGAACATTTCCTTTTTCTTGATCACTTAATTCAGTCTCCCTTTCTGGGAGTATTTTGAGATTTATAGTGTTATGAACAAATTGCTCTACGAACCAGCGAGTAACTTGAAAGAACAACACTCGACTGACAAATTCAGTTCTCATAACAACAGCAATATTTGTAAGCAAAATAAAGTAATTCTGATAACTTGTAAGTCATAAATAACTATTAGCAGTGTAACAAACCCATCTCAACAGGTACAAACAATGTTCCACAACTCTTACACAGAGCCAAAATCATCAACAAAATCAGTCAACATTAGTGATAGGCAAGTATATATCTAAAGCAAACGAAAAGCTTTCGATTCATGCACTGAAATCGAAGAACTGAAAGCAAGCATCATGTCCATTCATGCACTGAAATTCCATTCGGCACAAGCAGCAATCACTCTCCCATATCTCAAACAACGATTAAAGCACCTATCTACACTAAAAAACTCAAAACCCCCCAATCCCTATTCCCTACAATAAACCTCAACGCCGCTATCACACACAAAATTCAAACTTTTGCAGGTAAGTGACAATTGAAGCATATAATAAAACCAATAGCACATAATAAGAACAAAGCCTATATGCCATGAACCAACCCTATAATCAAAATTCTTCGTTCCATTATCTGACCATATAACCAAGATTCACAAAATCCTTCAAAACTCCCAAAAAAAAAAGCCAAATCAAAAAATGCAACAAAAAAAAAATCCAAACTTTTCAATAAAAACAGAAACTTTGACATGCACGCCTCATAAGGGTTTGTTTGGATAAGGGGACAAACCAAACACTTAGCTATTTTCTTCTTATGTTCAATGACACATTTATCATTCATGTAACTATTCATTAGTGTCTGGTTTCTATTTTTTCAGTACGGATAAAAATGTTTTTCAATGGAGGGATAAAAAAAACATAAAATAAATCAATTTGTAGAGTGAATTTATAAGTGAACTTGAAAAATTGCTAAGAAACTATACCATTCTAATTAACATTAGACCCTCTCCAAATACTTTTGACTGAGGTGTTCGTATAATTAGAAATTTTAGTTTCCCAGAAACCAAAAACTTCAATATCATTGGAACTAACATACTTTTGTGCAGGCAGCCCCCCTTCTACAAAGATTGCCTAAATCTCTAAATTTTTTACGGAGTTTTAATAATCAAGGAGTTAATTTTGCTGTCTATGTTACTTCTTCAACAAATTCTCTGCTCATAAACATTTCTAGCCCATAACAAAGTAATTTTTTTTGTCTCTAGAAAATGCCAAAGAACTCTCTTAATTTTATTTATATATGTCAAGTAGTTAATCAAATCAAAGCACACTTGGATGCATGCACATGGTTTAATGTACAAATAATGCGCACATAATTTTCCACTGAATTAAGGTGATTTAAACGGAGATATTTGTTGCCTCTTCCTCTCAGCAAAATTGTTTGCTTCTTGGAGGGTGGGAGGGTGGGCGTCTGTGGTGTTTGTTTTGGAATAATTTCTTGATGACTTTTTGGTGCAAAAGAACGAAAGGACGACTGAGCTGCTACGAGGAAAGGGAAGGGTTCCCCTTTTGCACGTAACAATCAATCTTGACTCGATCGGCTCCCATTAAGAGATAGATATATACTCACGCTAAGTGATTCCCTTTCTTAGCATGCTTCTTCTAGACTAATTCGATGATAATTTTCAAAATTAATTCCATGGTAATTTATCACTCTCAATCCCAAAACACATAGTGATCACAGTAGAAAACAATTGAATTAATTATAAATTAAATCTACCCTTTGAAATAAATGTTTTATTTTTAAATTAAGAGATAAATAATAGTTTTTTTTTCATTTTCATAGGAATAATATATTATTGCATCCGATTAAAAAATTAGATGAGGAGTTATTACAGTCCAAGTTTGGAAATAGGAATAATAAAATCACTAGGAAATTCAATAATTCGTTTGTATTTTTGTTTTCATTTGTTTTGAGGCAGAGGAAATATGTGTGTTTTTTTCTCCTTAAATTTAAATTACATGAAGTAAATCAATCATATTATAAATGCTTGTCTAGTTT